GTATCATAAAGTCGGATTTATTTTAGGAAGAAAGAAAACCATGCAGAGGAAAATTGGTTAAGGCAAAGTGGCAATAACTAGGCAAACATAATATCTATTTTAAAACAAGCACTATTATATTTGGCTATAAGGGAAACAATATGGCCAGTAGGGCCTAAAGCCCTGTACATACGATAAGAATATTGTACGAGTGATCATCCGTTTTTTTTTTTTGCATGCTAGTCTCATATCAAAAATGAAGAGGGTACTAAACTTTACGAAAAGTCTCATATGAAAGAAAATAATTACTAAAGTGATGTCATGTATTGTACTGTATTTGTATTGTATTTTCTGATGACTACTGTACTGATTAAATGAAAATTGTATGATCTGGCATCATACGAGAAATAAGTTTGAGCTTGTCCCTTCAGATATTGTCACATGAATTGTCGTGATCGGCTCTCAAAAGCTATATACTAACGATCAGATTATCAGTTTATCGGTCCTCGTACGAACATTTTCATACAATTTTCTTATCATGTGTATGGGCCATAAGACACAGTCTGCCAGTGTTGGAGTCTTTTTACTGCCATTGGAGTACTTTCCCTCTCTTTTTTGAAAGGAGTACTTATAATCCAAAGGGAAATGCCCCAAAGGTACAAGGTCCACACAGAAAATTTTTTTAATTATTCTGCAGCTAGGTCAGCATCTGTATAGGAGGCGAAGAGGCCTCTGACCACTAATGCTGTTCAGTGTCTTTTCCCAGGAGGTCAGGTGAGATGTCAGTGCCTATGATAGTGAGCTCCATAGGTCCACAGCTTGGGGTTCCACAGGGTGTGGAATCTAAGCCTCAGCGTGCTTGTTCACCAGGGCCCCTGATGATGGGGATGGACTTACAGCAGGCTGAGACCAGGTCGCGGCCCCCAAGTATACCCAGCTGAGGTGGAGGAGACCATTAGTGGGAGCAGGGTGCAAGGGAGAAGACACAGGGAATCCAATGGCAAGCCGAGGTCAGCACAGGCGGAAAACTAGCAATGTCAGGAACGAAGTCGGGGTCGGCACACAGATAGACAATACAGGATTCACAGCAGGAACACACTGGAGCTCCAATAACATGAAGTTGCTCAGGCAAAATGGGACAGACTGAGCATGTCTTAAATAGACAAGCCAGCTAGGAGGAGGCCCAGGAAGTGATGAAAGGGAAGGACATAAAACCAGGGAATAGCAGATAACGCCCACAGGTGAGTACAGACAAACACACATGTGAAGGAATCAAGAGCAGCAAGGAAGTAAGAATGAACACACAAGAGGCTGCAAGCTAACTTGTGACATGAGAGGTCACATTGCACATGGGGCAAGCCTATGTCAGCTGCATCCTCAGCATTCATCTTCTCTGGAGCTCATAATTGGCAGCCCTGACAGGTCACTTGGAGTTTCTTCTTTCTTTTCTGGCAGAACAGTCTCTCCTGGATTGCAGCTCCTCTTCTCTCTGCAGCTTAGCACAGTTCCTGTGGCTGTCTCTGCACAGCCTCTTTCACAGCCATGCGTACAGTTCAGTTCTTTCCAGCATACAGGACAGCACACATACACACTGCACATACCTGGTGGAAGAACCTGATGTGAAAAGGAAGGCCTTTATTTCACCTCAGGCTGAGGGCCCCTGATACAGTGGATATGTGACACAAAAGTGTGGAGTAGCTCAGGTGCCTGTTGATCTTGCTAGCAGCAAAGCCAAGCAGGATTTTCAAGGCAAGCCTGGGCAGAAGAAAGCCAACAGTGGACCACAGTGAAATAGAGTGGCTGGGTGACTGCTAGTAAGTAGCATGGTTGAACACGCAGAGGCTCTGCGCACATGGCTGCATCATTCCTTTACACAGTTCTGTGAATTAATTGCAACTACCATCTGCCATTGGGGCAGACGGCTTGCAGTTCTCAATGAACTGCAATGGCACTGGTGAGCATATCATTGATCTGCCTGCTCTCCAATAACTTTCTGCCCATACATGAGGTACAGGCAGACAGTTATACTGAGATTCTACAGAAGCCTGGCATTGCAAATAATATAATAATATCAAACAACGAGAAGAATATCCTGTATACCTACCCATAGCAGCAGATTATAGTGCTGAAATCCATGAGAGTACTGATTTACCAAAGCCCCAACATTTCAAAATGTATTGTAAACATCCTCATGAAAGAGTTTCAAATGTTTTATAGATATTGAGAGAGAGGAAAAGACTGGTATTTTACAATGTCTCAGTATGTGGATAAGATGAATATCCTCACTAAATCTGTCCCCAGTCTGGTGTCCTCAGACAAAGCCCCACCGTGTATGAGGGCTCAAAGAAATGTATTGATCCTGTTACTCAGTATTTTACCCAATAAATTCAGATCAACATTTAGAAGAGAAATGGGCCTAAAATGCTCCAATCTGCTATGGAGTCAATGCAGCTCAGCAATCAGGGACTGGTGTTTTGGAGGGCTTAAGCGCTTTGATGGCCTTTGCCATCTCTGTCTTCATTATACTGACTGAATATCGGCATCAAAGGTTTGAGAAGTTCCTGCAGGGAAAAAGGGTAAACTAAGGTCTTGGAAAAATTGGTATGCCTTAGCTGCTGAGAAGGGAGTAGGTGTTTCATAAAAAGACACCAGGAAGTCAGCAAGCTGGGAAACAATCTTGGGTGGGCCGGAGGTAAGGTTGTATTCATGAGTGTGTGGTTGAATTGCTTTAAAATGGTTTCCCCACAGAATTAAGTTTTTTTAGTCAACATGGGGCCTGGTTTATTCACACAGGAGTCAAATTTGTGTTTAGACCACCATATGGCTTTTATCTGTAAGGGGATAGAGATATATATATTGTTCAACTATTTAGCTGTTTAGCTGGAATTCAGCTTTAACTTAAAGTGTTAGTTCACCTTTTCAGAAAAAAATTAAAGGTTGAACTAAGTGTCGAACTTGTCCAGTACTTTCATCTTTTTAGAAGGATGTGCAAACCCTCATTACTAGTGTTACTGATAGATCCATTGCAATTACACCTCAGCTGGCTTTGCTGGGCTGGGACTTGAAGCCTGGCCTTGAGATATCATAGCATCCTAACGCATATTTTTATATTGGCCAGACTATCTATAGTGCATAAATGAAAAAGTAGCTCCCCTCCATCTGTTCAACAACTTTACCATACTCTCAAGCACCTACATCTGGAACTAATGTATGCTAAAGCAAATGTAGCTATCTCCAAATTTCTGAAAGAATGGGCCCCCTGGTTAGATTACTCCAAATACACCACAATTATGTAATAATATTAGCCTCTGTCACTTATTATTATATACAGTCTTATTCCCAGCAAATGTATTTGGTACTATCTCTTGCCCTCAGTTATCTTGCTAAGCCATACTCTAGTACATAAACAACTACTCTAATTGTCTCTGCCATTCATCTATATCTGATACCTGGGTCAGAGAGAGGAGCATTGAATTTTATATCTATTTTGTTCTCATGTAAGCTTGGTCATCTGCATTATGTGACATTTTGCTGACATTTTTCTTTTCTGTGTGTTTATCTTGATAACCTCAATTAAACTTTTAAGTGATAATAAGGGTGAAGTTAAAGCCGAGTTTCAGTGAAACTGTGAAAAAATAAATGATTTAAGCTCTGCATACACTTTGAGATTATCGGAGGAATGATCGTCCCTTTTTTTTTTGCATGCTAGTCTCATATCGATAGTGAAGAGGTTACTAAAGCTGAGGAAATTCTTGTACAACAGAATAAAAATTTTAACTTTATGTAATGTATTGTAATGTATCTGTATTATATTTTCAGACAAAAACTGCTGGTTAAAAGAAAGTCGAACGATCTGGTATCATACAACAACAGTTTTTGTGCTTGTCCCTTCAAGTAATTTCAGACAATTGCTTAGTACGATCGATTTGAAAGCAACATTTTTTGGATGATTTTCTGATCACCTGTAAAAGGTGGCAGCTGATCACTTTGGAGGGATTTTTTTTGGCAGGCTTTATTGATATTGGTCACAGCCTACTGCTAAGGTATTACAACTAAAGTCACTATTTGTAAACTGCACAGAATTGTATAATAAAGATGGGCCCCTTGGAGGAGATAGATAGATAGATAGATAGATAGATAGATAGATAGATAGATAGATAGATAGATAGATAGATAGATAGATATCACAGTATATCATCCAAGAGGATATATGACCCTCATATTTTTGTGACAAATAAAATTTGCAACAGACAACAACTTTCTTTACATTTTCTCTTCTCTAGTTTGCATGACAAGGTATTCCTTAAAACCACAGTTTGTTAGGTTGGGCCTTTTATCATGCCCCCCAATTTTCTTTAAACTACACAAATATACTGTGCCCTAACATGTTTATTTACCTTGTGACTGGAGTCTTATGTATTGCTCTATTGTGTGTTCTCTTTTTGTCATCTTCTGTGGGATATTTTAATACAGCTGTCAAATGTTACAGTGAGCCAAGAAAATGACAGCAAAAGAACTTGGTTTTATTATGCGTGATACAAGGTGGAACAAAATCTGAAAACATTGCTCATGTCAAGAGTGGGAAAATAGTATGTACTAGCTGCAAATATATTTTGGGAAAATAACACCATCAATATTCAGATTAAAAGAAATTGGCAGACGATCTTGATAAGCAGTAGCATTTTAAGCCAAAACACCATTCCTTTCTTACACATATATTTTATGCATGTATTTGTAAAAATCTTTTCACAGAAAGTACAGGTGTGAAACCTTTTTGCAATCGACCCACAAATTAGTCCTTTTGTAAACCCAATTTGTACCTATACATACACTACAGTATATTGCTGGGATACCCCTCCAAATCATTGGATTCATGTGTTCCAATCACTTTCATGGCCACAGCTGTAAAAAATGAAGCACCTAGGCATGCAGAGTGCTTCTACAAGCATTTGTGAAAGAATGGGTCGCTCTGAGGAGCTCAGTGAATTCAAGCGTGGTACTGTGATAGGTTGCCCCTGTGCAATAAGTCCATCTATGAACTTTTATTGCTACTAAATATTCCACGGTCAACTGTTAGTGGTACTGTAGCAAAGTAGAAGCAACTGGGAACAACAGCAACTCAGCCACCAAGCGGTAGGCCATGTAAAATGACAGAGTGCGGTCAGCCATGCTGAAGCGCACAGTGCACAGAAGTTGCCAACTGCCTGCAGAGTCAATAGCTAGAGACCTCCAAACTTCATGTGGTCTTCAGGTTATCACAATAACAGTGTGTAGAGAGCTTCATGGAATGGGCTTCCATGGCCAAGTAGCTGCATCCAAGCCTTACATCACCAAATGCAATGCAAAGTGTTGGATGCAGTGGTGTAAAGCATGCCACCACTGGATTCTAGAGCAGAGGAGATGTGTTCTCTGGAGTGATGAATCACGCTTCTCTGTCTGGCAATCAGATGGACATGTCTGGGATTGGCGGTTGCCAGGAGAACGGTAGTTGCCTGACTGCATTGTGCCAAGTGTAAAGTTTGGTGGAGGGGGGATTATGGTGTGGGGGTTGTCTTTCAGGGTTTGGGCTTGGCCCCTTAGTTCCAGGAAGGGAACTCTTAAGGCATCAGTATACCAGAACATTTTTGAAAATTTCATGCTCCCAACATTGTGGGAAGAGTTTGGGGATGGCCCCTTCCTGTTCCAGTATGACTGTGTACCAGTGCACAAAGTAAGGGCCTTAAAGACATGGTTGAGTGAGTTTGGGGTGGAGGAAGTTGACTGGACTGCACCTCAACCCAACAAAGCAGATGAATTAGAGTGGAGACTGTGAGCCAGGCCTTCTCATCCGACATTTGTGCCTGACCTCACAAATACACTTCTAGAAGAATGGTCAAACATTCCCATAGACACTCTCCTAAACCTTGTGGACAGCCTTTCCAGAACAGTTGAAGCTGTTATAGCTGCAGAAGGTGGGCCAACTCAATGGGATGCCATTAAAGTTCATATGCGTGTAAAGGCAGGAGTCCCAATACTTTTGGCAATATAGTGTACCTATATCATATTTAAGGTTTAGTATTTTAATAAATTTTTCAAAAATGTTTTCAATCTTTTTTAAATGTGCAGCCTTTGAGATCTCCCACCACTATTGTTATTATTATTATGAATATTATTCAGGATCTATATAGCACCAATAGATTATTCAGCACTTTACAACAAGGACAGAAAGTATAGTTACAATACAATTAAAATCATAGGGCCCTGCTCATTAGAGCTTACAATTAGAGATGAGCGAATTATTCAAAAATTCGATTCGACTGATTCGGCGAATTCGTGAAAAAAATTTGATTCGAGTCGAATATATTCGCTGCGAATTTAACTTATAAAAGGGTGTTTCTAGGCTTCAGAGAGCATTTATATTAGTGCAGAACACTGTACCTTTAATTTAAATGCCCTTGGAGTCTGCTGGGGAAGAGAAATAATACTGTCAGTCAGTATGACATGCAGATGAGTGCCGTCGATCTTAGAATCACCGCACACTTCACTCATTTGGGCAGTCACGGGGCCAAAACCAGAGTGTGGAGCCACAGTGTGGCGGTGGAGGCAGCAGCAATGGGAGGCCATACAGCACCCTATGACAAAATGGAACCCACCAGCAGTGTGAGGAGACCTGAAAGTGGCACATGGCAGAGTGTGGCGATGGAGACAGCAGCAATGGGAGGCGGTACAGGGACCCATGACACACTCTGGACCTGGCAGCAGCATGAGGAGGCGGTACAGGGGCCCATGACAGATTACGGGCCTGGCAGCAGCATGAGGAGTTGGTACGGGGGCCCATGGCAGATTACGGGCCTGCCAGCAGCAATGGGAGGCCGTACAGGGACCCATGACACACTCTGGACCTGGCAGCAGCATGAGGAGGCGGTACAGGGGCCCATGACAGATTACGGGCCTGGCAGCAGCATGAGGAGTCGGTACGGGGGCCCATGACACACTCTGGACCTGGCAGCAGCATGAGGAGGCGGTACAGGGGCGCATGACAGATTACGAGCCTGGCAGCAGCAACTTGGACAGGAGGACGTTCAGCTTCTGCACCGTCGGGTGCGTGCTCGCAAACTGTTGTCTCTTGGAAACGGATTCCAAGAAAGACTGCTGACGGAATCCGTGAAGAGGAGTAGCAGGAGAAGGAGCATCTGAACGAGCGGAATATGCCAACAAGCGACAACAGGGGCCCATGACAGATTACGGGCCTGGCAGCAGCATGAGGAGTCGGTACGGGGGCCCATGGCAGATTACAGGCCTGGCAGCAGCTATGGGAGGCCATACAGCACCCTATGACAAAATGGAAACCCACCAGCAGTGTGAGGAGACCTGAAAGTGGCACATGGCAGAGTGTGGCGATGGAGACAGCAGCAATGGGAGGCGGTACAGGGACCCATGAGACACTGTGGACCTGGCAGCAGCATGAGGAGGCGGTACAGGGGCCCATGGCAGATTAAGGCCTGGCAGCAGCAATGGGAGGCCCGTAATCTGCCAGCACCCTATGACAAAATGGAACCCTGGGCTGGGGCAGGCAGAACCGCCGTATCTTTATCACGGTTTTCCCAGGCCACCGAATGGCTACGCTGCATATGCTGACGCAACGCTGTAGTCCCAACATGGGCCCCCTGGCCACGCTTGACTTTCTGGCCACATAGTCGACATACGGCTACGTTTACTTACTCGGGCGGCTTGACGAAAAATTGCCACACCGCCGAGTAGGAAACTTTGCCCCCGCTACTCCTCACTGGCTGACTGCTACTTCCTCTGTGCACACCGGCACCACTACAGGCCGTGGTGGTAGGCTGCAGTGGAGCTGGTGCTCTACTCCGTGGCCGTTTGCCTCCACTGACACTGCTGCGACCCTGCTGCCTCCTGGCAGCAGCAATGGGGAGGAGGAGTCGGTACGGGGGCCCATGGAAGATTAGGGGCCTGGCAGCAGCAATGGGAGGCCCGTAATCTGCCAGCACCCTATGACAAAAAATGGAACACACCAGCAGTGTGAGGAGACCTGAAAGTGGCACATGGCAGAGTGTGGCGATGGAGACAGCAGCAATGGGAGGCCGTACAGGGACCCATGAGAGACTCTGGACCTGGCAGCAGCATGAGGAGGCGGTACGGGGGCCCATGGCAGATTACAGGGCCTGGCAGCAGCAATGGGAGGCCCGTAATCTGCCAGCACCCTATGACAAAAAATGGAACACACCAGCAGTGTGAGGAGACCTGAAAGTGGCACATGGCAGAGTGTGGCGATGGAGACAGCAGCAATGGGAGGCCGTACAGGGACCCATGAGACACTGTTGACCTGGCAGCAGCATGAGGAGGCGGTACAGGGGCCCATGGCAGATTAGGGGCCTGGCAGCAGCAATGGGAGGCCCGTAATCTGCCAGCACTCTATGACAAAATAAAACACACCAGCATTGTGAGGAGACCTGAAAGTGGCACATGGCATGACACACTGTGGACCTGGCAGCAGCATGAGGAGGCGGTACAGGGGCCCATGGCAGATTAGGGGCCTGGCAGCAGCTATGGGAGGCCCGTAATCTGCCAGCACCCTATGACAAAAAATGGAACACACCAGCAGTGTGTGAGGAGACCTGAAAGTGGCACATGGCAGAGTGTGGCGATGGAGACAGCAGCAATGGGGGAGGCCGTACAGGGACCCATGAGACACTGTGGACCTGGCAGCAGCATGAGGAGGTGGTACAGGGGCCCATGGCAGATTAGGGGCCTGGCAGCAGCAATGGGAGGCCCGTAATCTGCCAGCACTCTATGACAAAATGGAACACACCAGCAGTGTGAGGAGACCTGAAAGTGGCACATGGCATGACACACTGTGGACCTGGCAGCAGCATGAGGAGGCGGTACAGGGGCCCACGGCAGATTAGGGGCCTGGCAGCAGCTATGGGCGGCCCGTAATCTGCCAGCACCCTATGACAAAAAATGGAACACACCAGCAGTGTGTGAGGAGACCTGAAAGTGGCACATGGCAGAGTGTGGCGATGGAGACAGCAGCAATGGGAGGCCGTACAGGGACCCATGAGAGACTCTGGACCTGGCAGCAGCATGAGGAGGGCAGTACGGGGGCCCATGGCAGATTACGGGCCTGGCAGCAGCAATGAGAGACCCGTAATCTGCCAGCACCCTATGACAAAAAATGGAACACACCAGCAGTGTGAGGAGACCTGAAAGTGGCACATGGCAGAGAGTGGCGATGGAGACAGCAGCAATGGGAGGCCGTACAGGGACCCATGAGACACTGTGGACCTGGCAGCAGCATGAGGAGGCGGTACAGGGGCCCATGGCAGATTAGGGGCCTGGCAGCAGCAATGGGAGGCCCGTAATCTGCCAGCACTCTATGACAAAATGGAACACACCAGCAGTGTGAGGAGACCTGAAAGTGGCACATGGCATGACACACTGTGGACCTGGCAGCAGCAGCATGAGGAGGCGGTACAGGGGCCCATGGCAGATTAGGGGCCTGGCAGCAGCTATGGGAGGCCCGTAATCTGCCAGCACCCTATGACAAAAAATTGAACACACCAGCAGTGTGTGAGGAGACCTGAAAGTGGCACATGGCAGAGTGTGGCGATGGAGACAGCAGCAATGGGAGGCCGTACAGGGACCCATGAGACACTGTGGACCTGGCAGCAGCATGAGGAGGCGGTACAGGGGCCCATGGCAGATTAGGGGCCTGGCAGCAGCAATGGGAGGCCCGTAATCTGCCTGCACTCTATGACAAAATGGAACACACCAGCAGTGTGAGGAGACCTGAAAGTGGCACATGGCATGACACACTGTGGACCTGGCAGCAGCATGAGGAGGCGGTACAGGGGCCCACGGCAGATTAGGGGCCTGGCAGCAGCTATGGGAGGCCCGTAATCTGCCAGCACCCTATGACAAAAAATGGAACACACCAGCATTGTGTGAGGAGACCTGAAAGTGGCACATGGCAGAGTGTGGCGATGGAGACAGCAGCAATGGGAGGCCGTACAGGGACCCATGAGAGACTCTGGACCTGGCAGCAGCATGAGGAGGCAGTACGGGGGCCCATGGCAGATTACAGGCCTGGCAGCAGCAATGAGAGGCCCGTAATCTGCCAGCACCCTATGACAAAAAATGGAACACACCAGCAGTGTGAGGAGACCTGAAAGTGGCACATGGCAGAGTGTGGTGATGGAGACAGCAGCAATGGGAGGCCGTACAGGGACCCATGAGAGACTCTGGACCTGGCAGCAGCATGAGGAGGCGGTACAGGGGCCCACGGCATATTACGGGCCTGGCAGCAGCAATGGGAGGCCCGTAATCTGCCAGCACCCTATGACAAAAAATGGAACACACCAGCAGTGTGAGGAGACCTGAAAGTGGCACA